AAAATGGAATTGAAATCCCTGCTTAGCTCATTTTTAGTCATTGCCAAAATAATTCAATAGTCATAACTCATATTGGTACTAATCTTCCAACCCCAGCCACTATTTCCGGACATATACTAGGGATTTAAGTATGATTAGACCATCAACCATCACATAGTTTTCTATCAAATTTTAATTGTATGGGGGTTGGTGGTTGGGGCACTAAATGAGTTTCAGTGCATCTCTCCAAAAAATCTACTATATATAGCATGGTAAGTCCACATTATCATTAACACCTTCAATATTCACATTTGAAAATTCATGTTGCAGTCTCTACGTTTACTCTTCAACAGGTTCAATACATATTTTCATATCAGAACAATGGCGTCGTTGACAAGGAGCAATGAATCATTCAAGCATGAGGAGCCGCTACCAACACCCGGTTCGTCCCCACTATGTCCCATCGTCATTGCTTCGGACGATGACGAAGTGAGTTACGAACGTGGTATGAGAGCCACATCCGTTGTTCCTTTTCCGAACCTCGACGATGTTGCAAGTGAAGCTTCCCAAACTCCAAAGACCGTGCTCGATTGGGTCGTCCCATTGATGGTTCCGGTGGAAGTTGAGTCTGACGATGACGCATGGTTGGCTCATGTTCCATCTCCCGAGATCATTGTGATCAGCTCCGATGACTCCGAAGAAGATGGTTCGAGTGTGGACAATCAATGAGGTGGCGAATATGGGTATGTGGAGCGTATGAAATAATGTATAGTTTGTATTTTGTCAAGGATGGATCTCGTAACATAGTTCGGCAATGGTGAGCAAGAGCACCTCCATTGTCTACGTACTGTTTTCTTCATATTTTGGTAGATTTTGGTATTAGACCTACTATGGACGAGGGCAGAAACAATCTGTCGGGAACGGCATGTATACTGTCGGGAACGACAGATTAACTGTTGGGATGTAAGAGCATAGGTTCATTTGTGTAAGTATGAAACTTGTGTTTCCTTGTATGGATCCCTTGTTTACTGAAAATTGACGTACCCTGGAATGAACAAATTCACTGTTTTAACAACGTAGGTTCGTCGGAATTTCGTGGTTCGGGTTTAATACATGAACTTGGAAGCATCGAAAAATAAGTTATTTTTAAAATTCCTTGTAGTGGAGTTAGGTGTATATACGTACGTGGTGTCTTATGAATAAGTCCGTATGGAAAAACTACTAATCAGGTCAGCCATAAATCGTCCTTGAAACATACCGTTTTTGTATGTTGCTAAATTAAAAGACGATGTCTGCTGTTAAGAAACGATAATGGAATGTAAAAGAAATGTTATGATTCAAAATATCTGTGTAAGTAGAGACTTAAATGGGTAACAGTGTAGTCATGCAGGTGTAAATATTTCGAACCAGTCAGATTATATACTCTGTAACCATCTGTCGGGAATGACAGTTTAACTGTCAAGATGTTCTGAAGGGATATCAATTACAATATCTTCTAAGTAGTTGCGATCATGAGAAACACTAATGTCAGCAAACAAACGACAATGATAAAAAAATGAGAACATTTACATTCTTTCATTACAAACGACATGGGGGTGTCAGTTCACATACAACTTCAACCACTTTCGAACAAAAACCTATTTATTACAAACGCCTATTTAAATGGTTGGTGGTATAATGGGGTTGGAACATGTGCTCCGATTATGACCTAGTCCACCACAGCGAGTGCATTTCCTCAGTCGTGTGGCGGACTCGAATCTGAATCGGTGACGTCTTGTGGGTGGTCTACCCGGAGGACGACGTACATTGAGTGGCCTAATAGGAGCACCTGTAATTTCGTTTGGCACTATCCAGTCCACTTCACGCATAACGGGATATATAGCTTCGCTATAGGCACCTCTCCAGTATTCCGATGTGTAATACGGTGAGCATAAGTCGTACAATGACATACCTCGCAAGCAGGCAGCTCGAGTGGCATGAACGCATGGCATACGACTAATTTGAAACTCGCGACAAGTGCAGCTGTTATGAGAGAAGTCGACGATGTCCGTGTCGTTGGACATTCCAACCTGTGTTAACTGTTCTGTCAAGCCATGAGCTCGAAGCCTTGTACCTGCTTCAAACGTTGTCCGCAACTCGTTCTCCATCCTGAACGACAGCACGCCAGTACATGTGGTTGCACAGGTTCGACGTTCGTGAAACCACTTCTGCATAATTTGTCGAATGTGTTCGACCAAGCACGTGATCGGTAAGGAACGGGCATGTCTCAACATTAAGTTCAAAGATTCGGCATTGTTATTTGTCAAAATGTTGTACCTTTGACCAACAAATAGTGCTCGTGACCAAAACGAGAAATTTGCTCGCTCTAAGTACCCGTACGCTCTTGAACTTACCCTACGGATCTGTCCCATAAGTCTTTCAAACTCTTCGACCCGAGAAGTTCGTGCAGCTCGTTTGAATAGAAATATTGCACTTGTGTTGTTGTACCGCTGGACTAAGTTCTTTTCTAGATATCAGATACAGTACCCATGACGAGACTGAAGAAATAGGTGAGCAATGGCATTGAAAATGCTATTCTTCCAGTCGGAAACAAAAACCAATTCAGCAAAGTCGCCTATAAGCTCTTTCAAGTTGGACATAAACCACATCCACGATCTATTTGTTTCAGCATCGACGATCCCCCATGCCAAGGGATATATCTGTTTGTTGGCATTTTGGTCGGTTGCCAGCAAAATTGTACCTTTATATGGACCTTTCAAGTGACTACCGTCAATACAAATAACGGGCCTCAAGTAGCGCATGTAGCCATGAACGCTTGCACCGAAAGCTAGGAAGAAGTAATGAAACCTGTTATGGGAATCAACTTCAATGTGGGTTAATGTCCCCGGGTTACGCTCTCCTAGAACGTGACAATAGGAAGGTAATTTTTGAAAACTATCCCCCGGTGTACCATGTAGCATATGTAAAGCGGCAACTTTCGCCCTATGTGCTTTTTGGTAAGTTATTTTGACACCAAACTCGCATTCTATGTCACGTGCAATAGCGGTAGAATCGTACAACCGGTGTGGATTATCCAATTTTCTCAAAATGTGCTCCGTAATTACAGAAGTAGTGGCATGTCGATGTGCGTTACGACGGATATCTACCGAACATGTGTGCACGTGGTTGAATTTTCGGATCATGAATATAGACGTCAGTTTCACACTCGAAGCACGTAACATCCACTTGCAATTACGGTCCACGCACGCAACAGTTAACATTTTGTGGCTTGACCTGCTTACATGAAATTCAAACTTGTCTTGCAAAGCAAGTAAATGAATTTTCGAGTACAGCTCTTTCTTGCTCAAGAATATTTGCCGTTCAACAGGATCAGATATATCCACAGCTGTAATCCATTGGTCTGTACCCGAACGAATAAGTTGTGATGACATTTGGGGGTCAACGTCTGCAATACTAGTAACATTTGTACCATTGAATGGGTCGTCCAACATATCGTCTACAGGTGCAGGCCCATCATCAAAATTCCCTGTTTCGACTACATTATTCACTGGGGAACTAGGCGCATGATTCATGTCATCGTGTTCTAAGTTCTGGTGAACATCCGTTGCGGCAAACAAATGGTCACGCAAATTCGTATCCCTCCCCATGTCAACAGTTCGCATATTTGTCTCCACAATATTAACGCACAGAGCAGTTTCTGTATGAACAGATATGTATCACATGAGGTCTTCATCTTCACGTATTTCAGCTGGCGGTATATTCATGTTCGGGACTTTAAACTTCAATTCCATTTTGGTGTGCGGATCGATAATGCCAAGTTTCTCATTCAACCGTAACAGAAGTCCGGCTAGGGTAACATTTCTCGGCACTAAAATGGATGTGGTTTTGTCCCCTGTCCACTTCCATTCGTCATCTGCGTGAATAAACCTTCTCCCGTGCGACACGATGAATCTCAAATGGGTGTTCATACCTAAAATAAAGGGATTACAACGATAAGAATTCTGAACAGTCAATATGTCGATATGTAATAGTATCGAATGGGCCCTTTCGAATATTTAAACCGATGCAATAGGAGAATGTGAAATGCAGGGTGTCAACAGTTTTCAACTGTCGATTTTGACAGTTTAAAACTCTATCCCGACAGTTTATCTGTCGATCTCGACAGATCGACATGTATAACCGTCGAGATCGACAGATAAACTGTCGAGACCGACGACAAGTTTAACGCCTGTTTGTTTGTTACTTTCTCCGAAATATTAATGGTTACAATCAATTCTCAACTACAACAATTATTTCATTGATCTACAGATCTCCATAAACAAATGACTGTTTCATTAAATATGGAATAGTTGACATGTCCCTAAATATTGTTGGTATATTTTCCATTTAAAATGATTTGAAAAAGAAAAAACAATACCATCATCATTAATAGTGGTTTTAAATGCCTTCTTCACTTTGACGATCATGTTACTTTTAATATATGAAAAATAATAAGCTATTACATAAAAATATAAATAATTTGTAATAACTAACCTCTCCAAATGGATGATGAATTGAATAGCAATATATTATTGATGAAAGAATAAAGAAGATGAATGAAAATGGAGGATTTTTTCAAGAAGGGATGTATTTGATGTAAACTATAATTGTTTTGCTTCTTTTATCCTATTTTTGCTTCTTTTAAATTTTTTTACGTCTTTTCTCTTTTTTTTAGTCAATTCATATTATACAATATAATATACATTTACCAAATCATTATAATATACATATTAAATAATGAAATCGTTACAATTGATTGAATTGGAGGATATCATTAACGAGCATTTAATGCTCCTAAAAAGGGGAGATTAAGGATAATTTGGACATTTTCAAAAAAAAAAGTGACATTTTTGATAAAATTTAGTCCACATCAAAAATTTTATAGCAATTTTCAAAAAAATGTCATTTTTGATAATTCTCCATACTAAAATATTAGAAATGCCGACCTAAATTAGAAGTTCCTTGCTTCATAGATGATCCTCTGCAAAAAGTTGTGATCACTTCATCATAGAGTATACCGTGTCTTGTTGCACGAAATTGGTACATCTTGGTCTTCTTCTTCTTCAGTCTCACAAATCTTATAACCACATTGTACCCCCGTTGAGTAAAAGTTCCAATTCCTTCTTCAATTTGGTTTTACATGAAAATTTTAATGTAGTCTTTTCACACTTTTAAATAATTAATTTTCATTTTATTTTGAAAAATTTAGTCAAAGGCCAGTTGCACATATAGAGATTAAGGGGGCAGCCATCCTAACTAATTTCCCTTTTCTTTCTCGGTGTTATGCTAAAAATTGGGAACATATCATCACCCCTATGGCACCAATTTATCTTACGTTGCAGTGATTTCTACTTAACTTGTTCATCACCAAACTTGGAAGGTAGTATAGGGTTATATTGGTGTTAAAACGGGCTTTATACGTTGAAATCGACTCCATTTGTTTGTTGTGAATGATTTAATTTGAACTTAGCTTCTTATAATTTATTTTTTATTTTTTCAGAATTGTTGTTTCTTGATGTTAATCTTTCTCTAGCAACTGTGATTTTTTCAACAGTATTTCTCTTGAATTTTTGATGCCACTGTTTATGGGTTTCCATTGCCATAAAAACTGGCTGCGGTGAAATACCCGGGATCAAAAGTGGAATGGCCAGAATGGAGTTACAGGCGATAGGATCTCCAAGGAAGGAGAATTGAAGAATTGTGGACTTAACATACACCACACAGAATCAGTGCAAGCCCACGTTATTAAGCAAACACAGCAAGAGCAGCCTCGTGGGCCACGGGTTCTCTGGGACCGGTTTCTTCCTCTTGGGTCCCTCACGGTTCTACTTGTAGAAAATGATGATTCAACTCAACAAGTTGTCAAAGCATTACTTCGTAATTGCGGCTATGAAGGTTACCGCTCTTTCTTTGTCTAGTCATTTTATAAATGGGATTGACACTACATATCATTTCTTAATCTCAACTTCACTTGTGTAATCAGTTTACTCTAAGGGTTTTTTTGATTGCCGTGGAAATTATTGCTTAAATGTGTTTGATTGGTTTAATTTTCAATCTAAATTATGTTATACTTGTCCATTTTTTATTGGTGAGTAAATGACAGAGGTTAGATGAGAAAGTGTGTGTGAATTGCCTGTAAAATAAAAATCTACGAATCTATCAAGAAAATGTTTTCCTTTTTTTTTTTTTTTTTTTTTGAGAAAATATGGCATGTTGGAACTATTTTCCATAGAAAAGAGTCGATCAAACACCCCAAAAATAAGAATTTAGGTGGAAAAAGATTCTATGGAAATAAAGCCAATCAAATACACTCTATTTTCTTTTAGTGTTCGTCACTTCCTACTCTGATTTGAATAATCAATCTAATGAAAAAGTACACGTACTTGTTATGTTTTCAGTTTTTATGAAATCCAGTGAATGTTTTGATTTTTCTAAACATTTATTAAAAGTAAAAGAAAACAACTAAGTATTCTTTTGGTGAATTTGACCCTTTTTCTCTAGTTTTTGCAAAAATTCCAGGGGATTAATTTGAGAGACTTTCAACAATAAAACCACTTCAATAAAGAGAAAAATCAATCAATAAAATTAAAGTCCTGCTGCCCTCGTAATAGTTGACGAGCACTCTAGTTTAGTACAGACAAGTGGCCCCTGTCACTTCCTACTCTAATTTTTTTCCAGCATGTTCATTGAATGATACCTCTCAGATTTCCTACACTACTTGAATGATCAATAATCAATCAAATGAGAACTATTCCATTTTTATATCCGTTTCCATGTCTTACTTTTGAAATTTCCATGTCCCACTAATTTTCTTTATGCTTGCATTTATTTTTCCATCTTTTTTTTGTATATTTTAACACTGAATCAATTAAATTGTACGATGGCAGTTACAGCTGTAGCAAATGGCCTACAAGCATGGAAAATTTTGGAAGACATAACAAATCACATTGATCTAGTATTGGCAGAGCTATCTATGCCACACTTGTCTGGCATTGGTCTCTTAGCCAAGATTAAGAACCATAAAATTTGCAAGAATATTCCCGTTATTAGTGAGTATCATCCAATTTGCTGTCCTACTTTGTTTCATCGACCTTATGTTCTCTGTAATCTGACAAATTGGTACCTTTTACACATGATGATTGTTGCCTGCAGTGATGTCAGCTAATGATTCTATGGGCATAGTCTTTAAGTGTTTGTCAAAAGGTGCTGCTGATTTTTTACAGAAACCTATCCGTAAGAATGAGCTCAAGAACCTCTGGCAGCATGTTTGGAGGAAATGCCACATTGTAAGTTGAAATACTTAGCAACAACTTTCTATTCATATAGGTGATAAAATGAGATAATCCTTTCTTTATATCTCTCTCTCTCTCTCTCTTTTATTTTTGGGTCTCTTCAGCATAGTTCACTGTTTATTAGTTTCTCGCATGGATTTCTTGTTTTCTCTTCAGTCAAGCTGTAGTGAAAGTGAAAGTGGTATATGGACTCAAAAGTCCAAAAGGTCAAAAATTAGTAAGAAGCGGGACAATTACAATGATGGTAGTGATGAGGACAATACTGAAAGCGTTGGTTTGAATGCTAGGGGTGGAAAAGACGATATAAGTAGCACTCAGGTATTCTTTTTCTGTGAAGATCATGAAATAGTTTGACTTGTCTCCTACTCTTTTGAATTCATTGCATCCATTCCTTGCCCCTTACCTTTATATAGCGATGATAAACATTCTTTTGAATCAATTAGTTGCTTCCATGTTTCTTTTAAGTTTTACCCCTTAGTGAGTTCATTACTCTTTTTTTTCCAATTGTTTGTTCAGCTGTTTGTTAGTTAACTGATGAAAAATCTAGGTGGTCCAGAGAGAGATATATGAACATTTTATGTAAGAAACTGATTTTTCCCTCATCCCCCTTTTTTTTTTCCGCGTCCATTGGGTTACAATGGTAAAAATGTTAATGATACAAATTTCCAATTTCGATTCCCAAACCTAGAAATCAAATCTCGAAACTGGAGAAGGATTTCCTTCTCTAGCATTGACTTTCTCGACACTCCCCCTAAATATGGTTGAAATTCCTGTCACGCCTTGCTTTATCTCTATACTGAATCCCAGAGGTTTAGGAGTCAAATTTGAAAACTGGATAAGCAAATTTCCTTCTCTGAAGTTGACGTTGTTCAGATTTCCCATCAAGCTAGTTTGAAGACCATAGAAAATTTGCATTGGTAGCCCACTCATTGAATATAAATAGTAATTATTTGTCAGCAGAGACAAATTCAGGCCATTCTCCAATTTATCCTTGATTAAGTGCCTATTAAGCTCACATGCTTTGTCCAATCATGCTGGAAAATACTATGTACCACATTCACAGGTACTTTATCATCACAGTAGAGCTCCATAGTATGGTCAATACCCACCTTGAATTCTGATAAATGATTATAGAGAACTTAGCCACAACTTACAAGTCCCTTGTGCCATAGCCTAAAAGTTCGCTTACGCACTAGATTAGCAACCACTTATTGTTTCTTGCTTATCCAATTTACTATATAACCAGTTTACCACTAAATGAAAGTACAAAAAACTCGAAGTTGATTTACTTATGATGGAATCAATTCAAGTTTGGATAAAAATGTTTCCATTGTTATTTTGAGACATTTTAAATATCTCAAAATCTTTGTTATTGCATCCATATGCTCTTTATGAGCATAGTGCACTAACTGGCCAATAACATTGACTACATGAGCAATGTCTAGTCCAGTGTGTGGCAAATAAATAATCTTTCAGTCCATACACGTGGGAGTTTTCCTTTTGGCTTCCCAACATATATGCATCTTTCCGAAGATCTAAGGTATATTTCGAGACAAGAGACTCCTTCAAGTGATTTAACAACTTCAATACTTAAGATATACGTTAGGCACCCCAAATCTTTAATATCAAATGCACATACGAAAAGAACTTTTTAAAGTTTAAATTTCTTCAAATGATCCCCCATAACAATTGTAACGACTCGGGCTTCATGCACAAGCCGTTACGTCATGCATAATGTCCTCTCTAAGAGGGTATTTGTCCTCTTACCCTCTTACGGATTTATGTTGCGTCCCTAGGATTCGAACTCAAAGCATTTGCCTTATGAAAGGTTTAAGTTGAATCCTACCAATTGGGACTCATAAGGCAGCTAACAACTTCAATACTTAAGATATACGTTAGGCACCCCAAATCTTTAATATCAAATGCACATACGAAAAGAACTTTTTAAAGTTTAAATTTCTTCAAATGATCCCCCATAACAATTGTAACGACTCGGGCCTCATGCACAAGCCGTTACGTCATGCATAATGTCCTCTCTAAGAGGGTATTTGTCCTCTTACCCTCTTACGGATTTATGTTGCGTCCCTAGGATTCGAACTCAAAGCATTTGCCTTATGAAAGGTTTAAGTTGAATCCTACCAATTGGGACTCATAAGGCAGAGGCATTAAATTCGAATCTTGGGGTGCAATATACTAATGATTGATTACTAGGTTACGTTCATATGCAAATTTAAGCATATACTAGTGCTAATTTGGAACCTCAATATAACTAATTGGGTATCTTGTGTGAATGACAAAAGTTGAGTTTCATACTATTATGCATTTGTGCATAGAAATTTGGTTACCTGTAGAAGGAAAAACCAAAATATGGTCTCTAAGAGAAATGTGCAGATTTTTGAACTATAGCTAAGGTATTTGTCTAATGATATTGCTTAAAAAATTGAAGATTTGGAGTCGTAGTCCTATGAAATTTTACTATGATAATAAGGCGAGGATCAATAGGACAATGTGATATGACTGAACGTATCAAGATGACTTCAGTAAGGAAAAATGAAACAGGTTTAAATATGTTTGCTGCTTGTACCTACCGAGAAACAATTGGTGTGTATACTCAGTAATGGTCTTCAAAGGCATTTGTTGGATTCTCTAACTGGAAAGCTCAGAATGTTAGTCCCCACATTCTTAATCAGTGCCCTGTCATTGTATTATCCTTCTGTTGGGCCTGATATTGTTAAACCAGCTTGAGAAGGGAGCACGGAATACTAGAAGATTTTTTCTGAATTTTCAAGCCAGATTTAGCGAAACAGATTTTTGTGTTGAATTTTGAAATTTAGGACAAGCTTCTATTTTTGAATAATTTTCATTTTTCTAGAGATTTGTATTTGTATTTCTGTAAAGCCTTGTAATTTTAGTCCAAATGGAATAAGGAGACAGTTTCTTTCTCCTCAAATTGACACATCCATTATTGTTTTTCCCCCTTCTGAAACAATATCTTACATTTTATTGATACTGCAAAAGTTTCAAGTGATTGTATTTTTTATGAAGTTTAATGATCTTTAGTTTCTATATACTAAAATTAAGTAAATTTCTGGGATGACATTCCAATTTTATTTTATATTTATTTATTTATTTATTTTCCATTGTTTGGTTATTATTAGGAAATAGCTCTAATTCAAGGATAGAGATAGTATCTCAGAAAGGTGCAATGCGGCTCTAATTTTGGTGTAGTGCAGTTGTGCATCTCTAATTAGTATCACAAGGAAACATAAAATCTTATTTGCTTTTAACTAAAAATTTGGGAAGCTTTATTTTTAAACAAAGTTTCAGCTTGTAAACAAAATTATCATTTGCTATTTATTTAGGTTCAAATGTTATAGAAACCATGTGATTGGTTTGCATCATAACCCAGTTAATTGCAATGTCAACATTGAGTTGAAGCTATTCAATTAAATTGGGAAAATCAAAATGCGGACAATTTTGTTTATTGCGATATGCAAGTTGTTATTGTCCATATATGCCTCCTATAATGGTTTAATTTTTTTTTCCTTCACTCATTTTCAACCACACATTCATACAATTGTTGATGAGATTTGTAGAGATATTAGAGAGAAGAAGGTAATTATCTTCCTCACCTTTCTTTCATTAAATAGAAAGTTTAGCTTACAAGTATGAAAATTTAGTAAAAATAAAGAAACAATAAACCACGATTATACTTTTTTCCTAATATATTTGATTCTTAACTTATTTCCTTCCTCAATACTCCCCCTTAAGTTGGAGCATATATAACATATAAACTCAGATTGGAACAAAGAAATTTCAATCTATTACCATTCAACGACTTTGTAAGCATATATTAGCAAGCTGATCTCAGCTCTTTACGAACAATGTATATATATCACCACTGACTATCTTGTCTCAAATAAATTGGCAATCGATTTCCATGTGCTTGGTCCTCTTATGGAAGATTGGATTGGATGTGATATGTAGAGTAGCTTAGTTATCATAGAACATCGTAATAGAAGTAGAAGGCGAGAGATTGATTCCTGAATAAAGTGCTGCAACCATATCAACTCACTGAACCATTGCCCTATATCTTGCTTCTGCACTTGACCTTGCTACTACAGTTTGTTTCTTACATTTCCAAGAGATAAGATTACCAAAAAAAAAAAAAAAGTACAAAAACTTGTAGTGGATCGTATATCTGAAGGAGATCCTGCTCAATCTCCATATGTAAACCCTTGTACTCTAATATGTCCATTGGGTTTATACAATGACCCAAGACCTGGAGTTTTTTTTAAATACCGAATAATATGTATCACAGTTTCCTGTAAGAAACTTGAGGGGCATCTAAGAACTAACTAATGACGCTAACTGCATAGAAGATATCTGGTCGTGTGATGGTAAGTTAATTCAATTTCCTGACTAAGCGCCAATATTTCTTGGTTCTCCAAACGGTTCTTCTTTATTTTTCAAAAGCTTCACATTAGGATCCATGGAAGCATCAACTGAACGAATTCCCATAAAATCTTTCTCATCTAAGAGGTCAAGTACATATTTTCTCTGATATAAGTTGATACGTGCTAGAGACCTAGCGACTTCAATACCCAAGAATTATCGAAGCTTGCCTAGATCTTTGGTCTAAAATTATTAATCGGACAATCCCATTTGCACCATCACCAATGGTTATAATATCATCTACATAAACTACAAGGATAACACGACCTACACCAGGTTGTAGGCGAAACTTGACTCATTTTCATCCACACATTCACACAATAAAATATTCTGCATATAAATTCAAAATTTTTCTCTATTTTTTAACCACGCCTCCTACAAATCCTTATTCAAAGCATTATTTTTCCCAAATAATGGTTGCCAAACATGGGCATAATTTAAATTGTGATTGATGAATAAGACAATTCCTAAATATGGTATGAAATATGGATAATCATAGAAATCTAATTAGTTATAGAAACGAGCCAAAAATACTTTAGTTATATGCACCATGGCGATAAGTGTTGCATGCTTTTTTGTTTTACTGATGACAGACAATCATGTCATGCAAACTACTTGGAGTGAGTGTGCAAGGATGTATATTGTGTATATGTTTTTTCTTCTTATGCTTGTAGCTATAAATGGAGAATCCAGTTTGCATCTAGTTTCTGAAGCTATCCATGAAGCTGAAAGCTATTTCACTTTTATAATCTAAGTTGATGTTATTGTTATACAGAGTTCCTGGTCAAAAAGGGCTGTAGAAGGTGGCAGCCCCCAACCTTCTCCCTGGAATGAATTAGCAGATGCTTCAGATAGCACTTCTGGCCAGGAAATCCATTCAAGACCCGAGGTGCTTAGGGTGCCTACAGCATCTACAATAAAACACTTAAAGCAGGATGACGTGCTGGGTAGGACTCTCTTTTCAACATAATTGCTGTTGATCTGCTATTTCAGTTGGGTAAACAACGTATCTTATAATACAGATAACACAGCAATGGGAAAAGATTTGAAGATAGGACTTCTGAATCATCCAGATTTAGAACTCCAAGGCCAGAAAGAAGAATTTGGCAGTACACTGGATACTGAAAATGACAAATTTCTAGCTTTATATTCAGTTGAGGATAGCAATAATTCCAAAAAGGAAAAGGTGGAGCTAAGGAATGGGAATTCCTATCCTATTGATGCAACCACCGACATTCCTATACGTCTTATGGTAAGTGTAGGCCACAATTTTTCGAGTGACCTGTCTAGACTTACCAATGACAATAATTCGTCCTATGATCCTAAGGAAATGCCTTGTCTTGAGATAAGTTTGAAACGATTCAGAGACATGAGAGAAAATGGGACTCATACTCTTCAGCAGAATGTGTTGAGACGGTCAGATGTTTCAGCCTTCTCAAGGTATACTATATCTGAATGCTTAGAAACTTTGTGTTTCTTTGAAACAAGAATCTTCAAATTGACCATTCGGTACCTTTCAGGTATAATGCAAATACCACTTCTGTAAATGTGGGCAGCTGGTTTCCAATAAACAGTTATTCTGAAGCAGCCAAGACAGGTGGCACGCCTTATCAGGGTTCTAATGGCAGTAGCCCCAACAATGACATGGGTTCCTCTACGACTAAAGCTTTTGCCAAGAAAGAAGGAAACATTGATAAGGCAATGACTGATCATCGTAGTTCTGCTTCTCAGCCAGTGCAGCTAGGCAATACATTCGGTCAGCCAATAATACTGGACAACCCTGACACAGCAAACGCTACCTTGGCTCAAGAAAAGACGTTGGACCAACAGAATAAAGTTCAGAACCACCACCACCATCATCACCACGACCACCATTATCGCCATCGCCATGTTAACAACTTACAACAACAGAAGCCCCTCAGCCATGATGATCTGTGTTTGGAAAATTTAACTGCAGTAGCTGCAAATGGTGGACCACCTGATAAGATGGGCCAAGAAATGGAAGGAAATGCTAATAACTATGGAAGTGCATCAAGATGTAATGGGCAGAATGGAAGCAGTGGGCCTCGTGGGAGTGATAATAAAGCCATTGTAGGTGCTGATGATGGAAGCGGCAGTGGAAGCAGGGGAGAGTAGATCAAAACCGATTGGCACAGAGGGAAGCAGTCTTTGAATAAATACCACTATAAAAGAAAAGAAATATGCTTCGAAAAGAAGGTAACTCATCTTGGGTCGTTGTGAACATTAACAATGTGCAAATGTAATGTAGGAAACAAACTCCATATCACTAGCTTGAACAGTTTTTTCGTATCATGCTTGTAGTTTTTCTTTAATAGTGTACTTCTGCGTATATGCACTGTTAGTATGTCCCACATCGTTTGAGAACAATTGAAATGTGTAATATATAAGGTGAAAGCAAACTTGACATCTATGGTGATCAATGAGGGCCATGTATTTTATCATGGTATCGGAGTGGGTGCAAGACAGGAATGATTCGAGTTTGTTGTCTAGCTCGTTTTGGAGCACTTAATGACTCTCCAACTCAGTTGCTGACGAGCGCTAGTATTTCCTGGTTATCATTGAGAAGTACAATGTATAGGGTAAAGTCATGGAAGCTGGTCTTACATTCCTTTATGGTGATCAATGAGGGCCATGTATTTTATCATGGTATCGGAGTGGGTGCAAGACAGGAATGATTCGAGTTTGTTGTCTAGCTCGTTTTGGAGCACTTAATGACTCTCCAACTCAGGTGCTGACGAGCGCTAGTATTTCCTGGTTATCATTGAGAAGTACAATGTATAGGGTAAAGTCATGGAAGCTGGTCTTACATTCCTGATTTAGGTCCATGGACTTCATCAATCGCGCACATGCAGTGATACTTGCGTGTATCATTGCAATTAACATCATGTATGGAACTTGGTCGTGTTCAAATATCCTTTAATTTTAGCTTTTGTTATAGATAAATCGTATGTTTACCGACATAACAGCAGAACTTATTTCTTGCACTTTGTTTTGCCTTCCAGGTTCGGTATCACCGGAGGAAGAGACTAGCAGAAGAAAGGCCATGGTTAGAGGACAATTTGTTCAACGAATAACTGAGGAGGACAGAATTCGAGCAGAAAAAGAGGACAGAAAGAGCCGAGTCAGCTGACCTCGTTATGTGAAATCGGCATTAATTGCGTAATGAAGGAAGCACTTTAATCCATCTCTGGGGATTCAGGTGAGGTGGAAAACATATTTTGGTAGAAATATTTCGGAATATGAACCTTGTTAAATTTTGTGTATTTTCTTACATTGGCATGTGGAACTTGCTGATCTTCTCTTGCTCGAAACTCCTAGTCAGGCAGTTAAGGTCCTTTGCAAGACACGTTCTTCTCTAATAAATATCTCAATTTAGTGTGTTGAGTTCATTTAGAATCTAATCTTTTTGGTACGAAATTCTCGTGGTGAATTGTACTTGACATTATTAAAGAAGAAACATTAGTTAAAATTTTGTTTATCGTATTAAAGGAAAAGTCTACTTATACATAATTTTTGTACATAGAAGTGTGCACATCCCTGTGCAGAAAAATTATGTACCTTTAGCAAAGCCCTTGAATACATGTTCTTTTATTTTCTTGTCATGAAAATCTTTGATTTCCACTGCAGTTGTACCTTGACTGTGAAGCAAATTTGTCTACCATGTTATGAAGCTGCTCCGTAAAAGGGAGCTTATAAGGATTCTCTAAATTCTAAAATCTTTATTAAGAATAAAATAATTTTTGGAGCTTGATCGACTTACCCGCAATATCCCGTTCAGCTCAAGTGACTGCTTTTTGTTAAAATCTTTTAAGGGAAAAAAAAAAAAAACTACGAAAAGACGTTGTACATAACACATTACTTCAAAGAGTAATTAATGTTATGTACGATTTGTGGATGATCTTCATGTGAGGTGCGATCATATTAAATGATAAGGCAAATACTCATGCTCACACATTATTCTTTAGTAAATATTTACAATAGTTTTTCATTTGAAAGGTGTGTAAAAATCAACCATGAAAGATTTTTAGAGTCGGGAAAACACAAATATAGTCATATTTCAAGAAATATCAAAGTCAATTATTTAGATAGATATAGTCAATTATTTCACAAATTAATAATGGAAAATTAACAATAAACACTAATATGTATAATTGAAAATATTGGATGGTATATATTAATTGAAAATTACCAATTAGGAATTAAAGCAGTTGAAAATGGTATATGATAAAGTTATTGGTTTTAAAGGAAGTAACCTTTCAAAGAATAAATGAATTTGTTTCTTATTGAACAATCTTATCCCAAAAATGTTATAACAATTGGCTGTACCTATGCACAATGAAAGCATATTACCTAACAAGACATAATCTCTATTGACAATATGAGGTAACAATCATTCTCTTCAGTAAAAAGGGTGAAGTAACAAGGAACAACAACTTCAATGTTACAATTACTAAGATGTATTATCAGAATCTTCATGCTAAAACTTTAAAACATGGCATAGTTTTCATTAACAAACGACGATAGCAAACGTTTATCTGTGACAAGCTCAAGTACCAAGTAACAACAATGTGCGTTGTACACGAAGTACTGCAACCATGAGGAAGAGTAAATAAAATTTGGGTTCGAAGAATGTTGATGCATAAAAACGGTACTTTTTGCCTACTTCTAACTCTATTAATTTTGTCAAAATATTCGATTGCATCACCTCCTTTATCTGAACTTGTGGCCGACTGTGTTAGATATAGACAAAGTTTAACTATTGTTACATTGGTTGACTTAGAGCGTATACGCAGTTCGATATAAAGGAGTATTCAAATATTTTCAAACTACTCTATAATAGTTTCACAAAATCTCAAACTAAAATCAAATTGTTCCATCACCTGTTTGGCTTTGATTTGATTTAAAGCCGAAGCTTCATTGTATATATTTTACATTTGCTTTAATATAACTAATTTATTGATTATAACATGACTTTTTAGTTTATTGATGTGTGTGTTTTCAAAGTTAATGTTTCGCGCGGGTTAGTCGCTAACAATTAAAAGGGATCAGACGATTGTGTAAGGGACAAACCTCTTGAGACAAGTCCCAAAAAGGGGTGTTCTTTTATTGGCGATGACTTTACAATTGGAAATGAAAAACAATGTGCCTCCAAGGGGAGCAAGCACACGAGTTACTGAAGGAAAAGTGTTTAAGTCTAAAAACTAAGGAAATGAAAATTACATATTCTCTGTTCGAGAGTTTTGGATTCGGTCTTTTGCTTTTATGTCCTTTCTCCCTTTTATACTTCATGGACGATTTCTTTGTGATCAACCGCTCTAAAAACTGCTTGATCGTCCTATAACTGCCCACTTTCTTCGTAAAGGCCAACTTGTCATGAAAACTGCCTTTTTAACTGCTGCCATTACTCTTCCTCATTCAACCGCTTTCGATTGAGTTCCTTGAATCGTGGAACGTGATAAGGCTTCTTCAATAACTGCCTTGATAACTGCACTTCTTGATAACCACGACGCCTTATGTTGTTAAGACCTTGGGCGACTTGAAGGTTTGGGCAAGAATAGAGTAACAGTTCTGGGTGACTGTATGACACTTCATTCGCTCAGATTCTGGGCGACTTGCAAATTTGGGCGATGACGTTACCGCGTTCTTGGGCCTCCTTATTTGGGCCTTCATCTTGATTTGTTCGATTGAGCTTCGTTCTTTGGGCTATCTGATTTGGGGCTCCTCCAATTGGGCTTCACTCCTTGGGCTGCTCGATTTGGGCTGAATTTTTATGTGTCAACAATTACCCCCCAATATGGCAGAATTAATAATAATTATTGAATTTTGCCATATTCACTTTGTGTTTCCAGCAATATTCGAAATTCCCAAGAATTTCAATCATTGTTTTCTTCTATAACTTGAAAAAGTGCGTCGTTTTGCAAACCCTTATAAACCCCTAAACACTCCATTTTACTGCTATCAAACCACGCCTCATATTTTTTGCGTCTCTTTCACGATTCACTGTTCACCTTTTGCTTCTTTGCTACGTAACCCTGAAAAGCTCCGTTCCTTCTCAAATGGCTGCTTCACAATCTCAGGCTAGCGATTCCTTCAGTTTCGATGACTTTCAGAGACTTCTGAGTCGCCCATACATAACCCCAAGTTTTCTCGCACCCGCCAACGTTGGACGTAATGAGTTCTACTTGGGTCCTTTCTTCAACAATGCAGAGGCAGTTGAACAGGCGACGGTGGGTCAGCTGTTTCCTTGCACTCAGGGTCCTCCATTCCTGAACTCTCTACCGTTGGGGCCACTTCGCGAAAGAGGTATTCGCACTTGGCCTAAATCTGATGTAGCTTTTCGTAGGTGGCATGCTCGTCTTGTGGGTCATGGTCCTACTAAGGCACTTTTTGATAGCGCTAGGATCTCTGATTTGTTAGAAGTCTCTATTCGCCCCCCTACTTTTGATTCAGCACTCTTTTCGATTGCTTTGAGTTTTTGGTCCCCTGAGTATAACACCTTTATTTTCCCTCTTGGCCCCATATCGCTGGTGAATCTACCACCTTTGGGCGATACCATTTTCCCAGGTATCTTAGTTTCTGGTGGCGCCCCAAAGTTTGGTAAAAACTATACTGACTCTTATTCAAGTCTGCAGACCCTCCACAATCATTCGAGTGCTAAGCCTACCCATACTGAGCGAGTAGCCTTCCTTTTAGTTTGGCTTTGTAAATATATTTTGTGCGTGCCAAGTATAAAGCCCTCTCTGAGTTATTTACCTATAGCGCACGAATTGGCGCGTGGCAGGCCTTTGAATTTATGTTCTTTGTTTTTGGCTGCCCTTTATAGAGGCATGGCTTCTCTTCAAGCTCAATTGAAGAATGGTGCATCTCCCACTGGCAGTGGACCTCTTTGGTTCACTCAACTGTGGTTGAGATCCTATTTTCCATCGCTTGGTGCTCCATCCATTTCTCGCCCTTCTGCTAGCTGTTACGGGCTAGCCATGGAGCCCTTAACTCCTATAAATATGTCCAGAAGGGACATTTTTTCATTCTTTTATTTTTTGGATTCAATCTCTTCCTTTTTTCCTTTTCCTCCTTTTTTGACTCCAAACTATGTACATCCCCCTTCCACCATAGATAGCGCGAGCACCTCCCTGCTCATTTGGATTCAATTTTTAACCGGGAGGGAGCTATTCCATGATATTTTAACTGGGACTAATGCCAAGGCAGGGGTAGAGATTTATGCTCCCCAATTTTTTGCTCGCCAGCTTGGTTTTGGCCAAACTTGGCTTGTTTCTCCCTGCTATTCAAAGAACTTAGTTGACCGTTTTCATACCAATACTAAAGCGGAGGCAGAGGCTATAGATGCTCGTAATCTTCTTTTAACCAGTCATTTTTCATTGGCCCCTTTCAATTATAGCCACGCCATTCACCCTCTTTTTGAACAACTCTGTTCGTCGGTGAAGCGCAGATTATTTGCGACTGATGCCAATTGATAAGTGCGTTTTTACACACTTATTTGGTCCACAAAACATGACTAATTGTTGATAAAAGTGTTTGAATATGACTTAATTC